CAGCAGCGGCTCCGCCGCCCCCCCCGCAGCAGCAGCAGCAGCAGCAGCAGCAGCAGCAGCAGCAGCAGGGTCCAAGGTGTACATACACCCGGAAGCAGTGATTAAAGGCAGCGTCACTCTGGGCACTGGCTGCTGCATCTGTGCTGCAGCAAGACTGGAGGGGGGGGCTGGGGGGCTTATTCTGGGGGAAAGAACTGTAGTCCGAGAAAAAGTCACCATTATCAACAAGTCCGTTGCTGCTGCTGCTGCTGCTGCTGCTGCTGCTGCTGCTGCTGCTGCTGCTGCTGCTGCTGCTGCTGCTCGTGTTGGTGGTGGTGGTGCTGCTGCTGGGGTTGCTGCTGGGGTTGCTGGACGGCGCTGCTGCTGCTGCTTCCGGTGCCAGCGCTGCTGCTGCTGCTGCTGCTGCTGCTGCTGCTGCTGCTGTGGGCTGCGGAGAGCCCAGAGCCTCGTTCTGGTGTCTAGGCCTCAGGCGGGGCCAGCAGCAGCAGCAGCAGCAGCAACAGCAGCAACAGCAGCAGCAGCAACAGCAGCAACAGCAGCAGCAGCTCTTCTCTCCAGTTCGTTTTTAATTGTTGGAATGGAGATCTAGCCCACAGACGTATTCATGCTTTTTCCTTGTTCTCCCAAACCCTAAAACCCTAAACCCTAAACCCTAAACCCTAAACCCTAAACCCTAAGGCTGTGTTTGTTCTTTGAAGGCTTTCTACGCCGATGGTCATCGGCAGCTGCTGCATTTTCGACGAGGCATCAAGTCAGTACTTCGCAGCAGCAACAGCAGCAGCAGCAACAGCAGCAGCAGCAACTGCTGCCACAGCAGCAGCAGCAGCAACTGCAGCAGCAGCAACTGGCAGCTCTTCCCCTTTGTGCCATTTGTGTCCGCAGCTATTAGGGACGTCAAGCTAATTGAGGACTTTGTCCACATCGGAGCCCTTGGTAACTGCTGCTGCTGCTGTTGCTGCTGCTGCTGCTGCTGCTGCTGTTGCTGCTGCTGCTGTTGCTGCTGCTGCTGCTGCTGCTGCTGCTGCACTGCGTGGCCCTGCTGCTGAAGCTGCTGCCGTGTTTGGCCCTTCCCTTGCCCTGGCTCATTGCACTAAAGTGCCCCTCTGCCCCCACCGCCACCTCCCCTGCTGCTGCTGCTGCCGCTGCTGCTGCTGCTGCTGCTGCTGCTGCTGCTGCTGCTGCGCAGCCACGGTGTGTGGGGTGGAGGCCCTGGGGGCCGGCAGCTCCGTAGTACCCAACTGCGAGGTCACCTCGGGGGCCCCCCCTGTGGGGCCCCAAGAAGTAGTTTGGGGCCTCGCCAACAGATCTTTTGACCCCAACGCAATTGTGGTGAGTTGCTGCTGCAGTACCCTCTTTTTGCACCGCTTGGGGGCCCCGGGGGGCCCCCCACCCAAGGGGGGCCCCTGGGGGGCCCCCTGGGGGCCCCCTAGCCCCAAAACGGGGCCTCAGGGGGGGCCCCCAGCCCCTAGGGGCCCCCTGCGGGCTCCCCTAGCTCCAATGGGGTCAATCTTCTGGGGGCCCCCCTTATCCCCAAGGGGGCCCCCTGGGGGCCCCTGTAGCCCCAAGGGGGCCCCCTGGGGGCCCCCGTAGCCCCAAAGGGGCCCCCTGGGGGCCCCCTTATCCCCAAGGGGGCCTCCTGGGGGCCCCCGTGGCCCCAAGGGGGCCCCCTAAGCCCCCAGGGGCCCTACCTCGGTGGGGGCCCTTTGGGGGCCCCCTCAGTGGGGCCCCTAACTGGAGCCTTGGGGGCCCCCAGTTGGAGACTTCCTGGGGGCCCCTGGGGCCCCGGGGGCCCCAGGGGGCCCCAGGGGGGCTGGGGGGCCCCACACTGGAGAGGGTTTGTTGTGGGTGGTGGCTGTGTGTATATCTTTTTGAATTTGAATTCTTGTGTCTCCTTTGCTGCTGCTGCTGCTGCTGCTGTTGCTGCTGCTGCTGCTGCTGCTGCTGCTGCTGCTGCTGCTTGACCAGAGACAGGCCCAGACGCTGGCGACGGACCTGCCTTACCTGCAGCAGCAGCTGCAGCAATCCTAGGGGCCCCAAGACAGGGGGGCCCCTAGGGTCGGGGGCCCCCAGGGCACAGGTGGGGGCCCCCAAGAGGGGGGGCCCCCCAGGGTACACTTGGGGGCCCCCAAGGGGCAGGGGCCCCCAAGGGCTAGGGGCCCCCAGGATTAGGGGCCCCCCGGATTCAAACAGAAGGGCCCCTGAGAGGCAGGGGCCCCCAAGGGTCAGGGGCCCCCAGACTGAGGGGCCCCCTGCTCCAGGGGCCCCCAGAATAAAAGTACCTCTTTACCTTCTGGGGCCGTTTGGACGGGGGCCCCCCTAGAAAGCAGCCCCAGTAACAGGGGGGCCCCCAAAACCCGGGGGCCCCCCTCTCCTGGGGGCCCCCAGGTGGCAGGGGCCCCCAGGCGAGGGGGGGCCCCAGGCGAGGGGGGCCCCTAGGGGATAGGGCCCCCAGGTAATAGGGGCCCCCAGGCGAGAGGGGCCCCCAGGTGATAGGGGCCCCCTAGATTCGCAGGGGCCCCCTGGTGGCATTTTAATAACTAAAAGAAGGGCCTCTGGCTCTGCTAATTTCCAACTCTAAAAATTTGCCAAAGTCCTTTTTAAGGGCCCCCAAAAGCGGCTGGGGGCCCCCCTGACAGGACCCAGGGGGCCCCCTTAGGGGCCCCTTATAGGGGGCCCCTTAGGGGCCCCGTATAGGGCCTCCCATAGTACTGGTCAAGGGGGGCCCCCTCAGGGACCCCCCAGAGGCCCCTCCATCGTTTCGCAGTATGGGGCCCCCTTTAGGGGCCCCCTTGGGGGCCCCCTCGGGGGCCCCCAAGGCTCTGGGTCTATAGGGGCCCCTTGTGGGGCCCCCTAATGGGTCTTAAATGAATTATTAAAGTCCTGAAGAGTTTCAGAAAAGAAAGAAGAGACTTTTTGACTAGTACCCTTTGGGGGCCCCCTGGGGAGCCCCCAAAGGGTACTAGAGAGTTCCGGGGGCCCCCAAGGAAGCTGGGGGGCCCCCAAAGGGCCCCCCAGTTTCTTTGCTGCTGTGAGGTGTACAGACACCCCAGGGGCCCCTAAAGAAGCAGCAAAGAAGAGCCGCAAGTGTGGGGCCCCACAGTGGAGAAAAGAAAAAGAAAAAAAGCAAAAAAGAGAAAAAAAGAAAACTAAAAAAGAAACTGCTGTGGGGCCGGTGAGGTGTACGTACACCTCAGTTTCGCGGCTGCGGCTTCAGGTGTACGTACACCTCGCCGTTTGCGGCGCAGTTGGTTTTCGAGAAAACAAAAAGATGAAAAGTTTATTTAAAAGTTTATTTCATTTTTTTCCTTTTTTTTCTTTTCCTCCTTTTGTCTTCTGCTTCTGTCTCCAATCTGCTGCTGATCCCAGCAGCACGAAAAGAAGCGTTTGAAGCAGCTGCTCTCAGGCAGCAACTGCTGCAGCTGCTGCAGCTGCTGCAGCTGCTGCAGCTGCTGCAGCTGCTGCTGCCGTTGCGCTGCTGCAGCTGCTGAGGCTGCTGCTACAGTTGCGCTGCTGAGGCTGCTGCTGCAGTTGCGCTGCTGAGGCTGCTGCTGCAGTTGCGCTGCTGAGGCTGCTGCAGCTGCTACAGCTGCTGCTGTAGTGGCGCTGCAGCAGCTGCTGCTGCTGCCTCCTCCTTGCTGCTGCTGCTGCTTTCATTTTGTTTGTCTCTTTTTCTCTGTGTCTCCTCGCAGGGTTTAGGGTTTCAGTTCTAGGGTTTAGGGTTTAGGGTTTAGGGTTTAGGGTTTAGGGTTTGGGGCTGCGTCTCAGTGTCTGCGTCTCTCTCTATTGTCGCTGCTGCAGCCTAGAAACTCTCATTTGCTGCTGCTGCTGCAGCAGCTGCAGCAGCTGCAGCAGCAGCAAAAAGTCATCCTCTGAAACTTTTAAAGTCCAGAGGCAGAAGGCCCTTTAGACGGGCCGGGAGCTTGCCTTCGCTGCAGCCGCATGACAGCAGCAAAAGCAGAAGCTGCAGCAACAACAGCAGCAGCAGCAGCAGCAGCTGCTGCTGCTGCTGCTGCTTCGTTTGCCGCTGCTGCTGCTGCCCCTGCTCCTGCTGCTCCCTGCCGTCCCTGCCGCTTCAGCCACTCTTGCTTCAGCAGCAGTGGCGCAGCAGCTGCCGCTGCTGCCGCTGCTGCCGCTGCTGCTGCTGCTGCTGCCGCCGCTGCTGCTGCTGCTGCTGCTGCTGCTGCTGCTGCTGCTGCTGCTGCTGGATCAGAGCTTGGCGTGTGCTGCTGCGTCGGCCTTGAGCTCCAAAAGGCCTTTGTCGAGGACCACTTTGTCTTTGTTGGAAAAGTTCAAAACTCGAAAAAAAACCAACAAGTTGTGGGGACCCCACACATACACCCCAAGACGATCCCCGGGGATCGTCGGGCTCGTGAACCGACACCTCACGCTCCCCACGCGATCCGGGTCGCCCCCCAGCACTTCCTTTATTATCACTGCAGCAGCAGCAGCAGCAGCAGCAGCAGCAGCAGCAGCAGCAGCAGCAGCGGCGGCGGCGGCGCCGGTGGCAGCAGCAGCAGCAGCATGGCAGAGGCAGCAGCAGCAGCAGCAGCAGCAGCAGAGAGGCAGACGGAATGGGGCTTTTTTTTCTGCTGCTGTTTGTGGTTAGATTGGAGGTTTGGGGGGTGACAGGCAGCAGCAAGTTTAGCCGTAAACCCTAGGCCTTAAACCCCAAACCCTAAACCCTAAACCCTAAACACTAAACCCTAAACCCTAACTGTGGGGTGAATTGCCCGTTCTGAAGAACCCGGCCACACAGCGCGGGGCAGACGGTGCAGAGCTCAATAACATAGAAGCAACGCAGCAATAGCAGCAGCAGCTGCTGCTGCTACAGCAGCAGCAGCTGCTGCTGCTGCAGCAACAGCAGCTGCTGCTGCTACAGCAGCACTGGGCGCATCGGCACCCGCTTGACAGCTGCAGAAACATTGCCCGCCCCGTGTGCAACTTTACAGCAGCAGCAGCAGCAGCAGCAAGAAGAATAGCAACAGCAACGTCCCCAACCT